CACTGAGGAGCACCAGTAGAACTTAAGAACATTTGTGGATTTGGAGCTGATTGCAGTGTCATAAAATGCAGAACCGTGTAATCTGGGGTTAAAGACGAGATGACGATTGTACTCATTGATGTAAATGGCAATATTTAGATAGTGTATGCACTAAAGTTTGGGGTCAGTAACGCCCTATTCACACGGGGCGTCAGCGTCAACGCTTCCCATTCACTTTGAATGGGTGACGTCAGGCGTTGCCGAACTGCATTGTGGATCCGTCGGCAGCGCTTCAGAAGCGTTCCTCGCTGCAGAAGTTGGGACCAGCTCAACTTTTCAAGCGACGACGGAAGCGTCAGCCAATCAGATCGCTGTATGCAAATACACCAGCTCAGACAGTGGCCTATTGCTGACTGAATTTCATTTGCTGACGCTTCTATGACGATCGTTTCAGCTCCAACTTCAGACACGCCCTCTGTCAAGCGTTGACGCTGAAGCCCCGTGTGAATAGGGCGTAAGATTCATTTTCAATCGTTATGTAAGAAGTCTCTTTTGCTCAGCATTTGCTTATTCGTGTTTTGGCAATTTGTGTATCATTACAAATACAATGAAATGAAGAGAAAATGAAATATAGATACATAAATTAACGACTGTTTTCTACTTTAAAGGTGCAGTATGAAAGTTTGACACCCAGTGGTTGAACTAGGTATTGCCATTCTGGGACGTTCCGGGAGTCTCCAACATGTGCCTAGAGGCTCCCGGATGCCGGCAAACAAATGATAATCTCCTGGAAATCGCACGTCTACCCCCTAGTCTTCAAATATGCAGGCGCCACTCTCCACCGCATCCCTTCCTGCTCTTCAGATACATCACATACCTGTCAACCCTCCAGTTTTTCCCGGGGATTCTCCCATATTTTACTGTTCTTTCCCGCTATCATCCCGTAAAGGTATTTTCCCATATTCTGTATTTTTCAGTCTTTCTCTGCACAGCCGAGCCTCCCTATTCGCAACCCATACCGCCGAACCACCAGGGGTCGCCCCTTGCTCTAAAACGTGAGTCTTCTGTGCTTTCGCTTTGTTTAGGAACGAAAACACTTATAAATAAATATTAAAAATGGCGCGATTCCATTTCCTTTTGATTACAGGTGCCGTCGCCCATCCTATACAATAATCAAAACAGTCATATAACTTAATGGTGCTTGACTGTCAGCTGACGCGCTCCATAGTGATAAACAGATGCTTATTCTCAAACAAATTCTGTACATGCGATTTGAAGCGAAGAGAAAGTCTGGCTTTTGGGTGTGTGTTTAAACAGACATACACACATAATTAATAATAATAACATATAAGGATGTCGATCTCGGTGGTTTTTTTTTCCAAACACAACTAATTTCGTCTTAAATGAGCGTAAAATGATAGGAAGTCGAATGCTTTCATTAGAACATTAGATGTGTGCATTTTTTAAGTGACACCTCTTATTCAATGTAATAAAAAATCTTATTAAATGCGAGATTCATTCGTTGCTCTTTAATCAGAATGTATAAGTTATACAGTGGAGAAACGGCTAATGAGATTGATAGCTTGATTCTGTTTCATTATAATAGCTATTAATTTTAATAAGCTGAACTGTTTGCTAATGTATTTGCTGCTAATGTATATATTTATTTTTCTTTTGTTAATAATAATTTTAAAACATATTACTGACCATTTAACTGCTTATTTACAATGAAACAGCTAAAAGCTAACATATTTAGTAATTTGGGGATTTTTTTGGGGGGTGGGGGGGGGGGATCCCTTATTATGGTGGGCATATCCCTTATTTTCACATCCCAATGTTGACAGGTATGACATCGTGCATGCTCAATACCCCTCCCCCAACTGTCCAGATACATTGCATACCCCATTAAACACCCACCGTCCCCGGGCTTCTTCAAATACATCGCACAACCCCACCCACCCCGACCCCCTCCACTCTTCAAATACGTCAAGCACCCTCAAACTACCGCAAATCATTTATGTCCCTCCCGGAAATGACTTTTCCCAAGTTGTGATTTCTGTATTGCACTCCTGGATCAAAACAAATGCAAGTGCAGGTTGCCAGATTGAGGACAGGAGCGTGTGATTAAACCGTGTTATAATCGAAAGCAACAGCATCCGACAGAAGGAATATTTTCCATATTAAAAGGAGTTTTGTCCTAATCAACACCTCGAATTGATATATTAGAAACAGCTTCTACTTCTCACAGGTGAACAAAAGAAAACTGACAATGATCACCTCAGATAAACCTCATGTGCTTTATTCAGTGTTAAATGCTAATAATGTGAGCTCGTGTTCATTTCTGTCGTGTTTCGTCTGGTGCAAACAGCCAAAATTGCTTATGTGTATTATGTCACAAAGCATGTTGTTAGGACACTTGGTTACCATGTTACCTTTTCACCTAATGTTTACTTTTGTTATATTTATATAATTTGCTAGTTAATAACCTCATGTGGAACTCTGAATCTGTGTCTCATTTCGGAGTCTGTTACTGTTCACCGGAGGTCGCATTTCAGTCATGGTGCATGCTTTTAGAGCCCTTCTAAATGAATAAATGAATGAAATACGCAGTTTTCTACCAAGCAACCTGGAGTGCTGAAATATAATTGGCTAAACTGCAGGTTAAAATTACCAAAACAATGACAGACTCTCCGGCAGAATATCTGACTTCAGCACTGTTTTTCAAATAAACAGATATGTTCACTTGGCATGTTTCTTAAATATCTGTCAACATTCATTCATTCATTTTCTTGTTGGCTTAGTCCCTTTATTAATCCGGGGTCGCCACAGCGGAATGAACCGCCAACTTATCCAGCAAGTTCTTACGCAGCGGATGCCCTTCCAGCCGCAACCCATCTCTGGGAAATCTGTCAACATATTATGCTATTTTTTATTTTTTAGAAGAGTCAAAAACTTAAATACAGCACCTTTAATTAATAAAAAATAACTCTCAGTGACTAATAAAAATCTCATAAAAACATGTTTTATTAATTAAGGAAATTTCATATATTATTATAAATAAAAATATTTTTAACAATACAACTAATAATTAGCTGAATGTAAATATTAATTATTTAAATAAGTATTTATATTTTATATACTGTAATATTTATATTAATATTGATTTATGTATTATTGTCACGATCAGATCTAGGCTTTGCAGATGGCTGGAAAACATGCATTATTACCGGCACTAGTCTGCCACTATATGAACTACAACTCCCATCAGGCAGCTCGCACACAAACACACACACACACCAGCTCTGGATCAACAGAGCAGCTGGTAACTCATCATGGACTGATTATCTGGACTATTCACCTCAAACACACATTGTAACATTTCTACATGTTATCCATGCCTTGTTCCTCCGTGTTTTTTGTTTCCTGTTTTGGTTATTGTTTATACTGTTATACTCCTGCACCAACCTTTCTCCAGTGACTATGACGATGGAATACCCTAATGTATCTGTTTGTTCCTGTTGGACCATTGCCTGCCTGACTTAGTTAATACACTGCGTTTGGACCCTCACCGCCGTTGTACCCCGACTCCCTATGTTTAGAATAGCTAATAGAAACTGAATCAAGTTATTAAATGTCATTAATCTTTTCTTCACTGTATACCTTACACATTCTGATTAAAGAGCAACGAATCAATCTCATTTATTTAGATTTTTCATTTGATCACATTACATAACAGGTGTCACTTTAAAAATGCTATTATTAAAAAAAGGTAATGACACACACTGAGCAAGGCATTGTGCTAAAACGTTTGTTTTTAAATCACCCGAAGTATGTAAAAAGAAAAAGGAAAAACAGTACGAAGCATGAGTGCGACTTATTAACTTTTTGAATAATAGCATTGACAAGATTGACGCACCAAAGAAGTTTCTTTAAAAACCGAAAGTGCGCAGGGCAAACTTCGTCACTTTAAAAGTGCACATATCTAATATTATAATGAAAGCATTCGATAGCTTTCCTAACCTCTTATGCTCATTTAGGATGAAATTAGTTGTGTTTAAAAAAAAAAATACACCAAGATTGACATCTTAAGATATTATTACTATTAATTATGTGCTTATCTGTTTAAACATGTACCCAAAACCCAGACTTTTACTCTGCTTCAAATCGCGAGTACAGAATCTGTTTAGGGAACAGTGTTTATTTATCACTATGGAGCGCGTCAGCTGACAGTCACGCACCTCTATATGACTGTTTTGAGCATTGCATATGAACGGGAGACAGCACCTGTAATAAAAAGGAAAGGGAATCCTGCCGTTTTTTTTATTTATTTCAAAGTGTTTTCATGCCTAAACAAAGCGAAATACTTATATTTAAGAACAAACAGCGGCCCCTAGTGGTTCGGCGGTATGGGTTGCATATAGGGAGGATCTGCTCTTTAATGTTTATTGCCACCCTTCAGAGAAAGACTGAAAATAAGGGAGAAATATGGACCTTTTCGGGATGGTAACGAGATAGAACTGAACAATATGGGAGAATCCCAGGAAAAACAGGAGGGTTGACAGGTATGGATCTGAGTCATATATGTCTGCAGTGTGGATGTACCCAGTGGCTCTAAACAGCTTTCTCAATCTGTCCTTGAATATATGCATTTATAATAACAAACTAGTTGTGGCATGTTTCAGATTAATACTACACTTCCCTTCACATCTCATTTCGTTAATGTAGGAGCACAACACACTTCTCTTCCAGAGATTACTATACACAATAGTAAACCATATTCATCTCGACGAAAAGGCCCTGTTTGACAACTTTGATGGCCTCACAGTGACTCTGAAAGGGGAAAGCAGGCAAGGCGGGACATTATTAGTCACTGAGGCCATTGTCCGGGCATGTGCCGCTTCGACACTTGAGGCTGAGAGCTGCAAACCCAACTACATCACTGCTGCTAATTAGCATTAAACATCCCGCTGTTGCCTTAGGCCTTGACAAACTAATTAAGAGAAAATCACACTTGCTGTACATTTCATACAAAGCCACAAAATTGTTCTTTTTTATTCGGACAATATAATGACATAATGAGTGCACACTCCAAATGCATTTCCTGTATAATCTTTTTTAACCATCACACAGACCATCATTATACTTATTTTTTACTCTGGCAACCACTGTGGTTAGAAAAGAAATGGCAGGAATAACAGCCTTGCCCAATGGAAAACAAAATAAAAGCACATCCATCAAGATTTCCATCCTGTGGAGATACATTCCAGGCAACAGCGGTCTGGTCTGGTCTTCTGTCTGGGTGGTTTAATAAGCTTTACAAGCGAATGAATCCAGATTCTGTGTTCAAACACTTATGAAATGTTAAACAGTGCAGCTGTGAGTCATACTTCATTTAAACTTAATGTCCCCTAAAGCAGCATCACGCTCATAATACTGTGTGTGAGTCCTCCATTTTGCATGAGGTAAACATGCCTTAAAAAGTGTCAAGTCAAAGCCAAGTTCCACTCTGGCAAAGTGAGGAGTGGAATCAGCATTGAGTTATGGAGAAGAGTTATCCTTTCTGTTTTGACGTGTGCAATAAAAGTGCATGAAAAACTCCACTGTGTATGAAAAATATCCGTGGCGTAACACCAACAGATCCATCCACTGTGTCTGTGCGCGCCAAAGGTGTCACTTTGAAAAATGGTGGAAGCACAAAAAAGTAATATATGAGTTTTAAAGGTTTCCTCAACTTTGGGCCTTCAATTTGTCATCCACACTCTCTGTATTTTGGATCCGGTCCGGCGTCTGGGCTGAGAAATCTGGGGGATACAACAGTCATGCTGCATTAGTGTGCTGTTTAATGATTTAAGATATGTGGAAAGAATTACAGGTGAATCCAGTAACATCACTTTTCAGCAAACTTGACCCTTTCATTCAAAATGTATACAAAACCTTTACAGAATGGAAAACTACTGTAAAGGAGCATAGTAATTGAATCATATAATGATAATCCAGCAGGGTATGTATGCATGGTGTGGTTCTGAAACTCTGTTAAATGTTTAATGTTTATAGTGCTTTATAATGTAACTGTGTTCAGTATGAGTTTCTTTCTTCTGTTAAACACAGATGTTTGGAAATGCTGGAACAGGCAATGGAAATCAGAAGCCACTAACCCTCCTACTTTGGATGCCAAGGGTTATTGAATTTTGAGATTTAAAAAAAATATAAATTTCCTTTTGTGTTCAACAATGAAAAAACAGTACTTAAGTTTTTAACCACTTGCTGGTAATTGAATTGACATCTCCTGAGTAAATTAAGAGAATTTCGGATCTGTTGAGGTCAAATTACCCTTTTTATTTAAATATAAATGTGCTATTATTGCTACTTGATCATGGTTTTTTATATATTTTTTTTATTATTTTGTATTTGTAAGTGCTTTTATGGTATAATAAAATATAAACTATTTTTGACCGGTCAATCGCTTTCCCAAAAAAAGACACCCTCAAATTAGATATTGAATGCTTTGCAGCACATGGATAAACATGGATAAAAGTAACATTTTTAGAAGTTTATTGTTATGAAATTTATATACATTTAACTGAAATATATTTGAATATTAAAAAAAACGGTAAAATATCCACATATATATATATATATATATATATAACTCATATATCTAAGCAAGTTGTGTTCAATCAGTCTATCAATCAATTAGCTTTCAGTAAGATTTTGTAAATATACAGTACATTGCACAAATGACAAACGTTATTTTGTTTAAATTCATACAGGAATGGTTGCTGTTGAGATGTTGAGGTAATATTGAGAGATTGTGTGTATGGTATCTGTGTTTTTTTTTTTTTTTTTTTTTTTTTTTTTGACTTGGGTAGCTATTCCATGAAAAACCTTTAGTAATTCAAATCCATGAGGAAATATTTAGTCGTGATTTAAAAATAGCCGTGAAGGCAAACTTGTGTTAGACCGGACAGAGCGGTCTTTCATTGAGCTCAATCCAGCAAATGAGAAGCAGATGTTATTCTGGATAATTGGTTCCCGAGTGCGCGTGAATGACTCCTAATGCTAGAACACCCAAACCACCACAATTCATTGATCTGCATCACAATGATTAGTCTTACCCTCAAAGTTCGACGTCACCTTCCCCGCAGCTTCCCAGATGTGACAAATGCCTGTTCCTGCCGGTCTGAACGGCGACACGGTTCTTGAAGCGCACGAGCGCAAGCGCGATCTCTGCGTTCCACGCCGTCCCCTCCTGCTGGCACCTGAAGTCGACCTCTTTACCATCGTTCATCACGATGGTGAAGTACACCAGACCCCGTTTATACTCCACACAATCCAGAGTGGTCATCTGCTCGAAGCGCATCTCTTTACCGCTGTCGCCTTTACAGCCGTACAGTCGGAGTCCTTCATCTGACAGAACGCAGCGCTTCTTCTTCCACAGCTGGAGAAGTCCATTACTCCTCTTCTCCAGATACCCGTCATTCATTACTTTACACTGGTTCATTCTGTATAAAGGTTGCTGTAAAACAAAACCTCTTAAATTCGAGTCGACGAAGCGTTCACGGTTTTCGCCTTGCGTTAACCAATAAATAGGCTATTGCACGCGAACGCGCACCATATGTATAAAACGCCTTCATTTACTCCATTCCGCTCGTTTCTAAACGTTTGTAGTGAAATTAATTCCCGTAAGATGTTTGTAAGGCATCATCGCTGTTTTGCCGCCACCCTCCTCTGTGGCCAATGATCAATTTCCGACTTTTATATATTGTTACAGTGTACTTGGAAGTCCCGTAATCTGGGCATGTTGGTACTTGCTCCTAAAAGCGACTCTTCTCGTGTTTCTGAATCTCTCTCTCTCTCTCTCTCTCTCTCTCTCTCTCTCTCTCTCTCTCTCTCTCTCTCTCTCTCTCTCTCTCTCTCTCTCCCACCCCGCCGTGACGTCATGAGGATTAGTCCTATTTAACTGCGCTCTGGAATGCTGCTGCTGCTTCTGCTGTCTGATAAACATTAGCTTGTAAATACATTCATGTCCTCACATACATCAGACGACGTCTGGGTGAAGGGCCTTTCGTTTAACTCTTACCGTGTAACTCTCACCAGGTAGTCAACGTTGGTTGTTGTTGTAATTCCCTTTGTAAAACACTGGATACCCATGAACTTCTGTAATTTAGAATCACGTGTTATTTTTTCTTTCTTTCTTGTATTATGACAATCAAAATTAATATATTTTAAAACACATGATTTTCAAGGACTTTTGATCAAAATCAGTTTTAATACTAGCCTATCCCTTCTGAAAAAAAAAACAGCTTAAACCAGCCTAGGCTGGTCGACCAGGCTGACTTTAAAGGAGTTTAGAGGAGCTTGTCATTTTCCAGCCTGAACAGCTAAGACCAGGCTGGAAACCAGCCTGGAAATGGCCAAAAACCCTTCTAAAACCAGCCAACCTAGGCTGGTTTAAGCTGGATTTTTCAGCAGTTATGTGAACAAACTAACAATCAATTCATAATGCAAAAAAAATAGTTTAAAATATAATCATCCCAATGTTTCTTTACTTCAAGAAATTACAAAAATATACAATTAAGAGCATCATTTCTAAGAAAAAAAGACTAAAAATGTATCTTGTAAAACATATTACACATTTACAAATTTGAAAATAAATCAATAAACACACTAATAAAGAGCAAAGCAGGGCATAATTTTCAGTGTCCAAAGTTCCATATTAATATTCATTGCACATTTTTTAAACACCCCAATAATTCTTTATACACCATCATAATCTTCTCCTATAAGGTCGGGTAAATTTGTAATCTTAATCGTCTTTACTGTTAGACAGGATCTTTGATCCTTGTTCCCTGTTCAAATTTGCTACCCTTTATTAGACCGCTTGTTTATTTTTCTCCTAATTTCTGTTTAACGGAGAGAAGATTTTTTCAACACATTTCTGATCATAATAATTTTAATAACACATTTCTAATAACTGATTTATTTTATCTTTACTATGATGACAGTAAATAATATTTTACTAGATATTTTTGTAAGACACTTCTATACAGCTTAAAGTGACATTTAAAGGCTTAACTAGGTTAATTAAGTTAACTAGGCAGGTTAGGGGAATTAGGCAAGTTATTGTATAACAGTGGTTTGTTCTGTAGACAATCGAGAAAAAATATAGCTTAAAGAGGTTAATAATTTTGTCCCTAAAATGTTTCATAAAAAAATCAAAACTATATATATATATATATATATATATATATATATATATATATATATATAATGCCTTTTACAGCAGGTTAATTTAGTGGATGTTTTCATCCCAAACATAACAAAAGGGTTGGAAATTAGCCCAGAGTCTATCCTTGAGTTCTTTAAAAAAGTAAAACCATTTTCACAAAATGTGTCAAAATAAGATGTCACCAAAAATCATTCTGCTGGCTGAAACTCAGAAAAAGTTATAGCCATATTAAGACTCAAAATCACCCCAGCGTGGATGAAAACACCCCCAACAATAATAGTAAGTACATCTTATTAGTAGGGCCAGATGGAATCTGCGGTCGTTTTTTGCTATTTCTGCTGAGAATTTTGGTAAAAGTCTGCAGATTTCTGCTGAATTATTTTGGTAGGATCATAACTAAAACCCTGAAAGAATCCGGGTGGGCCTACTTATTAGTAGATTATATTATGTTTATTTTTTCTTGCTTTTTCATCTACCACCATGATCAATGACTTACCAAATAAATCCATTATGATCAAAAGTCTTGATAATTCAAAATTTGACTGATAGTGGAATGGTTTTTATATTTGTCTCAGACTCTTCAGAACATCAATAAGCAACTTTATCATCTATCTACACTTATGAACATGAGATAAACATCTTTGAAAGTTGCAGCTGTTCAAGAGAAATTGTTTTCATAGCTGAATTAAATTCCAAGACCTCATTTTGCATTCTATCCACTAGAGAGCAACCTTTACCTCTTCTAAACAGTTTAAACTCAAGTCGAAGGGTCTGCGAGTTGTTTCTGAAGAGCCTTAACATAAATTAAAACCCATGTAGATCCTCTGTGCTGTTAGTCTGACATGATCACCAGATAACGCCAAAATATATCTAGTTTATCATGAATGCACATAGACTTCAGTAATATTTCAACGTTATGAATGAAAGCTGCATTATTGACAGGATCATTTGTAAATATTTGCCTGTCTTTTGTCTTTCGCTGGAGGAATGTGTGTAGGTGGTGCGCGTTAATGCTAGATTTGGCAGGAGCTCATTTCCTTCCTTCAGATCAACAGCTATTACTTGTAGACAGCTTGTAACATGAACGTTACTCCCACACAACAGAGTGCATTTTGTTTGTAATGTCTGACAGCTTGATCATATCGCAGTCATTCATTTCACTTTCCTGCATCAGGTGAAAAGTTTATCCAAGCAGGTGTTCAGAAGTGGGATTCAATGATTAATTTAACGAGTTTGCACTGTTTACTGGGATAATAGTATTTTTTTACACATTGCTCACCTGATGAAAAATCATCATCAGTGTTAATCACTCTGATGAGCGGTTATAGTTAAGTGTTTTTGTTATTGTTTTAATTTCTGTGCATGGATGCTATATTTAAATGCAATCTTGCAAGAATTCGTAACTTACTGCAACATGAGCTATAATATGAACATGCAGGAACATTCAGATAAACAGCAGCTAAAGTAATGCAATATATATAACATCACGAACGTAATGTAAAGACAATTAATGATAAGCATAGCAATTTAAATGTGTCATACAGGGACATCTGAGTGTGTGCTTTTTTTCACCATTAATCATAAGGTGTTTTGTCGGTAAATGCGTCAATAATCAGGGAAGACCTTCTGTATTCAGTAAAACCTAGTGTTGTTGACTAATTAAAAGTGTACAAGTCTTTAAAGAATAATTAGGGACTTTCTAGAAGGAAGTGACCTGCCTGTGTGTGCTAAATTGTTCTTTCGGTCACAGTGAAACTCAAGAAGACAATTCATAACTCACTGAACATTTCTGACATTGTAAAATGTTTAGATTATAAACATGTCATTGAAATTATGTAAATGGAATGTGGCCTACGCTCTTCTCACCTTACAAATGACCATTCACATTCAGCAAATACAGATGAAATGTCAAACTGACAATAAAGATTATTGGACAGATAATACAATAAGGATTATTATTATTTTTAAATGATAAATGAATGTTTGTTCGGTTCAATGCAGGCAGATAATCAAAATATGTGTGTGTGTGTGTGTGTGTGTGTGTGTGCAATGGGGGACATTATTATATATGTAATATATTTAACTTTACCACTTCATTCAGACTTGGTTAAAGGCTTTCCTTGACTCACCAGCTTCATGTATTGAGAACTATATTCTGCTAAAATATAAAGGGAATACTTATATCTTGTTACATTTCGTGGATTAAGTGTTCCCTTAATATGTTTTTGAGCAGTTGATATAAATAAGTTTATATTTTACATTTTTGAAAGCAGGGCGATGCAGTGGCGCAGTAGGTAATGCTGTCGCCTCACAGCAAGAAGATTGCTGGTTCGAGCCTCGGCCCTGCCTTGGTTTCCCTGATAGTCCAAAGACATGCGGTACAGGTGAATTGGGAAGGCTAAATTGTCCGTAGTGAATGAGTGTGTAGGGATGTTTCCCAGAGATGGGTTGCAGCTGGATGGTCTTAGCTGGTCAGGCTGGAAGATGACCAGCTAAAACCAGCTTGACCAGCCTAGCCAGGCTGGGAGCCCAGCCAAAACCAGCTATGTCCAGCTTAAACCAGGCAGGTCAAGCTGGTTTTAGCTGGATTTAGCTGGTCATTTTCCAGCCTGACCAGCTAAGACTAGGCTGGAAATGGCTGGAAACCAGCCTGGAAATGGCCAAAACCCCTCTAAAACCAGCCTGGTCGACCAGCTAAAACCAGCCAACCAGCCTAGGCTGGTTTAATCTGGATTTTTCAGCATGATCACAAGATGTGTTTAAACACAAATGTACAAAGCAATGTTTCTAAAAAAAAAAAAATGAATGTCATCTGTATCACAGAGTGATTTTATAAACTGAAACACAACCATATGCGTTTGATCTTGAAAGTTTTATTAATAACAACCCCTCTGTAGCTCAAATTGCAAAGCCCAGCACGTACTGATAATATGAGCACCTACGATGCAATATTAGTTGCTTTAGGTGAAAGTGAAATGCTAAAATGGCTAATCTAAAAAAACACACCCTGCTACAAAAAGAACAGAACAGGATGTGTGTGGACTGTAGGTGCAACAAGAATAATTAGCAAGTAGTGGTGTAAAGCAACTAATTACAAATACTCAGATTCCTGTAATTGAGTAGTTTTTCTCAGAAATTGTACTTTTATAAGTAGTTTTATAAATGCGTACTTTTACTCTTCCTTGCGTACATTTTTAGTGCAGTATTGATACTTTTACTCCACTACTTTCCTTCAACCTGCAGTCACTACTTTATTTGTTCCTGCCTATAGGGATTAGAAAAATCAACCCTTTAAGTCCTGTCCAATCAAATTGCACATATAAAGTAAATGGCATCATAATGAACAACCTCAAGACATGGCCGATTCATAATTAAAGCAAACTGTTTGGAAGCATTAAAAGTGTACAAGAAGATGTCCAAAATTTTACACGCATTGACCCAGAGACTGTTTAGATGCAGGTCACTGATGAGAAGATGACAGATGTTTACTGAATGATGAGCGAAACACCCAGCAGGCTTCAATATGGCGGTAAAGTGACGTTGTATCTGAGTGTCGTGCATAGATATATACACTAGATGTCGCCTGGCCTATTGTTGTCTATTGGACGGAATGCGTCAATAGCACCGCCATCTTGCTACAGGGTAGCGCTCCTTTGAAATTAATGCGGGACCAAGGTACAGTGGAGGACTGTGGCCATGCAAAGCCAGAGATATACACATATACACATATATCTATGATCGGGAGTTTTCCTGGATGTTAGTATGCAATTTTTTTTCTAATTACGAAAATTATAATTTTACATCACTTTTCTACATTGATGGATCAGTGACCGCACGGGCATTCCTGACAAAAAGCTTGTGTTTGTGTGTACAGAAATGTACTATTCACCCTCCCTGTTAAATTTAATCTAATCCATGTCCTGAAACACAGCTCCTCTCCTGCTTTCACTTCTCATACTGACGGAGGGAGCGATTCGTTTGTGAATGAATCCCCCGAACGACTCTTTCACTAACGTTAGGCGACAATAATACCAGTTTCTGGCAGCGCAGCATCTCGTTGTCATATTTCTTTTGCATTGTTTGCTGATTTTATTCAACAAAACTAGCATAAGCCGAGTGTTTAGTGCGAGTTGGAGCTGCTTTGCCGTATGGTGAATGCAGTAAGTGACTGTTATCATCAATAACGTTACCTGATTAGCACAAAAGTTCAGAACATACAAAAACAGAAAAAAAAACTTAATATTACCTATGAAATGTTCTGCCTTTGTGCTTTGTTTTCTTTGTTTGCTCGTTACTACACCCGTAGACAGCGCTAAAGTCCCGCATCTTCACGTAATAACACTGTCTTGACTAGTGCGGTTGAATGACATTTGTCCTGGGAGCACTGTACCAATGTGGCGGCGCTATTGACGCATGCTCAGGGTCCCAATGCGATATCTAGTGTATATATCTATGAGTGTCGTGGGGACGTTGCATTTTGTTTGGAAATGAAAATCATGTTGACATCAGAACTCAAGATCAGGCCAACGTCCAACCTAAAATTAACCAAATATCAACGTATAATGATGTTACAGCTTGACGTTGTGGTGAAGTTACCAATATGACGTCTTTCACACGTTGGATTTGGGTTGCCATATCTGTTGGTTTAAGATGTTGGCTCAACGTTAGATTTTGGTCACTTTCCAACACAGAATAAAGTCAACAATCTAAATCTAACCTAATGTTAATGTCTTATGACGTTGTGTGCCTGCTGAGCAATAAACTAAATGCACTACAGAATGTTACGTTTACACACACATGCACAAATTACATGTAAACGCATCAGCTTTTCGCAGCGTAATACTCACTACTCACTACTCTTGAGTACTTTTGAAAGCTCTACTTTTTATTCATTCTTTGAGTAAAATTTACAACAAACACCTTTACTCTACTTAAACTACATTTTTAGGCAAGTAATGGTACTTTTACTTGAGTATGATTTTTCAGTACTCTTTCCACCACTGTTAACAAGAGATACCATATGCTAGAAACATACACTGAAGTTGGCAATGCAACAACTACTCAGTTTAACGCCTGTTTCACACCGCAAGCGTCAGCGGCGCGTGAGCAGAGCGTGAGCAGCGCGTGTGTTTTCGGCGTCCATATTAACAGATTAGAGCTTTCATACCGCACGCAGCAGCAGCGCGTCAGAGCGAGGCGTGAGCGTCGCCGAAGCAGCAGTGCAGCGATAGTTTCGGCGCTGGGTCTATTTTTGACGCGCTGCTCACGCTCAATTAAAGTGACAGTGCATTGATAATGACCAAAACACATTGAATGACAGTAAAAAGTAGCAGTTTTACCCAATAAATGCGTTAATAATGTCAAATGGTTTATATATAGTCATTCAAATGAACTTAAAACGATTAAAAACGGCAACAAACATTTATTTAGGCCCGAACTACAAAACCAAATGTAAAACTATTTTACTATCAGTTTTGCTTAAGTTGCACACTAGTGTTGTAGGAGAGGGGAAATGGAATATTTACGGGATTTGTAGTCCATAGCGAAGTGTATTGTGGGTAGTGTAGTTCGACACGCATGCTGGATTATGTGAGCTCGCTGTGTTCTGTGCAGCTGAGCAGAGGAAGAAAGTTTTAATCGGCTTTGTTTTATGTTCACTCGAATTATTCCTACCGGGAGCTGTTTGCACTGTGAATCTGACAACATGAAAATAAGTAAAAGAATGGCATGCATTGGTTACTTTTGTCCGTCTCATCATCTGCACGAGCTGAATTAACGAGCTGTTATTCTGCCGCTGGACATCACTGAAGCGGAGAAAGTAACACTAGTTTGATCATGTATAAATATCATTATAACTATATAGTATAAATATGATTATAACTAGGTCTACAGCAACCTGATAATCAAAAAACAATTGACACAATATCACAGGCGATTGTCTTCTGACTGTAGACACTTCTCATATAAGTTAGCTTGAGAAGCATACAGCACTATTTGATCTATTAAATTTGTAAAAATAAACATTTGCAGGTTAAAGAAACAGCATTGGAGGGGCCTTGGTGCAGATGAAAAGTTTAAAAAGTGTATTTGTATATAGAGAGACATGGCTAACTAGATAGAATAGACAGAGATAGGTTGATCTCTGCAGCAGCTGCCGAAGAGCTGCGCGCTGCAGACGCAGCTGGTGTGAAAGGCAAACGCCTGCGTGCTGCTACTGCTCGACATACGCGCTGCTCACGCTCTGCTCACGCGCCGCTGACGCTTGCGGTGTGAAACAGGCGTTAACAGTCACAAATGATAAAAAACACACCAAAATTGTGCATACTTGTAATTTTACTTGCATTAAAATACATGCTGAATGCATTTGTGCGACGCATTATGAATAGATTTAGTGCATCTGGAAGATCTTACGAATATTTCATGCTTTGAAAACCGTGTTGAAGCAAACATTCTTTAAAGTGATTAAAGCTCAAACAAGCATGCGGTGAACTAGTAAACTGGTATGCAGATCTGACATCAGAGCTCAGATTCCACTAAATCCGTGCAAGCTTGAGTGATCATCTTAGGTGAGCAGGTTAAATGTTAATCTCATCTTGTGTTGACGTTCCTCCAAACATTTCGAGAGTTAATAAGATGTTTAAGACTGTGACGTGATGTCTTGTGGAATGTGTCATCTTAGACAGAAGCATCTGGACTCTGGTTTCCTTCTCCAGCATGAAGACATGCACACGCACTTGTACATGAGCAGGAAGTGTTCGGATGCTCCAACAGATCGTGCGATTTGGGAATGTGGGGTAAGTTGTGTCATGCTTATCTATTGAGTGTGTGACAAGGCACCAGCGCCTTGACCGTATCCAAAGCCCTTGGGTCCAAAGTTTTTGGCATAGCAACCTGTGTGGAGCACAAAATAAGGGAGTTAACATGGTAAATATTTTGGAATTCATAAATAAAACGTGAGTGATTTTGACTGACAGATTTAATACTATGATTGTAGGCGCTTGCTAGGGTTTTGTCATAATAGCCAGTGTGTTAGTAACTCATAAATAGGCCTTCTCTGATGCTGAGTTCACTTAGCATGTTTCACTCAGAGGTCCAGATCTTAAGCATGCCAAACATTTCACATTGGTAATTCTCTAAGATCCTGTCTTTGATAATTCACACTGCGTGACTGTCTCTGTGTGAACTAGTGCTTATTTGACTTTGATTTTAGGCATTGTCTGAGAAAATCAGAGCTAAAATCGTGTGACATTCAAAATGGCAGGTATAACAAACCTCATCTGGCTTTTTTCCAAGTATACACTACCTGACAAAAGCCGTGTCATCGATCTCAGCTGTAAGAGCAACAAATAATAACTTGATTTCTAGTTGATCATTTGGAAAAGTGGCAGAAGTTTCCCTTCTGCAAGCAAAGGACGTCAACATTACATCATATAGGTGTACCCCAGCATCATGGAGACGTTGGATTTTGTTGGGAAATTAAAATCACATTGAACTCAGAACCCAACGTCAGGCTGATGTCAATGTCCAACGTCCATCCTAAAATCAACCAAATATCAATGTCTAATCATGTTACACCTTGACGTTGTGTGGACGTTACCAATATTACATCTATCAGACGTTAGATTTTGGTCATTTTCCCACCTAAAATCAACCAAATATCAATGTCTAATCATGTTACACCTTGACGTTGTGTGGACGTTACCAATATTACATCTATCAGACGTTAGATTTTGGTCATTTTCCAACCTAAAATCAACCAAATATCAATGTCTAATCATGTTACACCCTGACTTTGTGTGGACGTTACCAATATTACATCTATCAGACGTTAGATTTTGGTCATTTTCCAACCTAAAATCAACCAAATATCAACTTAATTTGACATTGTTATTGGACGTCAAAACAACGTTGTCCATAGATGCTTTCTAGACATTATGTTTTGGTCACCTGACGTCATGATTTAAATCTAACCTAATATTAACATCTTATGATGTTGTCTGCCTGCTGGGCACATACAAAAAAAAAAAAAAAAAAAAAAAAAAAAAAAAAAAAAAAACTGGATTAGACTGAAAACTCTACCTTTGCAGTATATTTCTCCATCCTTGTCAGCTAAAGTTGTAGATTCCAGACCTTTTCCGCACATTGCACATCGGAAACAACCCCTGTGCCATGCCTGCAAAGGGGCAAACACAACCGTCACTCAATGAAGACCAGTCTAGATTTTACAGAACAGCAAGTCATGTCCTAATTTTAGCACACCACAATTTCTCATCTCAGTTCTGCTTTTGACTTACGTTTCCTGCCCCTATGACCTTTTCAGCCGCATATACAGCCTTGCTACACCGCGGACAAACATCAGAGCCGCCAAACTTCTGAGCAAACTTGGATGTGTTGGGGTTATTGGTTGGTTGGTGATTTTGAGGCCTGCAATGCAGAGATATAAACAGTGTGACCATTAAAATCTCTTCACAACGTACACACTAACATAAACAATTACTTAATCTTCTTTGTAAATGTGTAAATTTGAGTGAAAATTAAGTTACTTGACTGAAAATTAGAAATTTTTAGCATCTGCCAAATGATTACATTTTATGGAAACAGAACATCATGAAAGATTTATAAAACTTCTATATTTTGAAATTTTGAAAACTGAAAACTGCTTATGTGTGACGGAGGCCAGCTAGTGAGTGCCGTGCTGGTAAACCTCACTTCTCTGACTTCTAAAGGTGCTCTAGCGACAGATGCTAGAGGCAATGGTCTTTAGCCTCCTTGTTAGAGCAACCGGCTTCCATGCGGAAGGTAGCCGGTTCGATACCAGCTCAGAGCAGGTTGGGTGGCGTAGGACTGGCGGGGTTACATTGGTGCCGTGACCCGGATGAGAGTGAGGTTTAGGGGGTCGAGTGTAACTGAGGCCAGCTAGTGAGTGTTGTGCAGGCAAACCTCACTCCTCTGACCTCTAAAGGTGCTCTAGCGACAGACGCTAGAGGCCATGGTCTTTAGCCTCCTTGGTAGAGCAACCATCTCCCATGTGGAAGGTTGCCGGTTTGATACCAGCTCGGAGGGAGTTGGGTGGCGTAGGACTAGCGGGGTTATATATGCAACATATGCAAGTCAGACGATCCTTTTTCCGTATACTGTAATTGGCCAGTTCAAGCTACAAAATGTAAATGATTCTAACAGTCAAAGGATTACGCTAAAATAATACAATTTTATATGGTATTCAGTATCAAAATGTAAAGAAAGTGTATTCTTACTCCACAACTTTAATGCCCAGTGACTCTCCTTTGTCCATGCTCAGAGTTCCTGCACCAGCGCCGTAGCCGTAGCCTTTGGGTCCATATTTTTTGCCATAACAGGCCTTGCAGTAGATCTCATTCTCATGGACGGCCACCGTGGTACTGTCAAGATTCTTCCTACAAACCACTAAAATGAGAAAGATAAGTGAATGTGATAATGAATACATAGCTGTTTAACTTAATACATAGCTTTAACGGTAACCCTGTAAGATCATCTAAACTATAATGACCGATATGCATTTGGTTCACCATTTGCTCTCAAAAGTCCCTCAACTGGCCGAGACATGGACTCCAAGGCAAGAGTCCTGAAGATACCCTGTGGAATCTGGCGCCAAAATGTTAGTGGATCAATTGTTGGTCCAGCATATACTACAGCTGCTCAAGTGGATTGAGATCTGAGAAATCTGGAGGCCAAGGAAACACCTTAAACTCTTCATTGTGTCCTTCAAAGCCATTCCTGAGTAATATGTGAGGTATGGCAGGTGGATTATCTTTCTGAATGAGGCCACCCTTAGGAATAGTTTTTCTTTATCTGCAACAGCATTTAGGTAGAGGCGCCATGTGTTGAATTTACATCTGTATGACATTGCCAGATCCAGGGCTTCCCAGCAGAACAATGCCCTGTACCTCACACTCCTCCACCAACTTTTCATCATCCTGGTGCAAACATCTCCTCAGGTAAATGGCACAAATTTAAAACACTTCACATGATTTTAAAAGAACCAGGACACTTCAGACCATGGTGACCTTACTTCACTATTCCAAGGCTCAGTTCAGACCTTTGGGTGTTCATCATAGGTGCTTTTAATGGGCCATCATAGACCAGAGATGGTCAAACTTGGTCCTCGAAGGCCAATGTCCTGCAGAGTTTAGCTCCAACCCTAATCAAATCCACGTGCCTATAGCATACTGATTAGCATGTTCAGGTATGTTTGATAAGTGTTGGAGCTAAACATTGCAGGACACCGGCTCTTCAGGTCGGGTTTGCTCATCCATGTCATACAGTAGATCAGGGGTGGCTAACCCTGGTTCTGGAGAGCCACCTTCCTGCAGATTTCAATTGCAACTCATATCAAACATACCTGCCTGTAATTATCACATGGTGTTCAGGTCCTAATAAATTGGTTTAGGTGTGATATGGGTTGCAACTGAAATCTGCAGGAAGGTGGCTCTCCAGGAACAGGGTTGCCCACCCCGGCTGTAGATGCTCTAATTTACAGGTGTCAAACTCAGTGCCTGGAGGGCCACAGCTCCACACAGTTTAGTTCCAACCCTACTTAAACACACCTGATCAAACTATTTGAGTGCTTTGGGCTTGTTTGATACCTACAGATAGGAGTGTTAAAGCAGAGCTGGAACTGTACTCAGCAGGGTTGCGGCCCCTCAGGAATTAAGTTTGACCACCCTGCTATAATTCAGAAAATCTATGTCTATTTTTTCAGTTTCTTCAGTAAAGTTTTGTTTGGTTTGTGCCACACCTAGACCTCATGTTGGCTTGGACCAGACATGATAACCTTCTTTGCTCTTGTGTATTGACAAGCCCTTGGTGGCTGTTTCTTGTTCTGTCATCCTCAGACAATTGATGTACAGTTCTGGCCTATGCTGGCATAGAGGAACCCACTAGCCCTGCCATCTAATCTACGCAGATATTAATATGTGACCTTGTTAAGAGATTACTAACAACATTCTTTTAACCTGGTCACAATTTTATCGTTCACTAGTGAGAATGTTTACATCAATAATAATATGATTAAGACATACTCTGATTAAGAGTCTACCATGTAAATGGCAAGTAGCTTAATCTGACTAAAGTCATAATCAAACTAAACAGAAATCAAATTAAGATATGTGGAGTATGGCTATTTTATTCACATTATTGAAGTGCAATACAGACATGTAAACACTTCCTTAAAGAACGAAACAGTCGCCCGCGGCTAAAATGCTAGTGATAGCATGATCCATTGATGCATTTTCCCTCCTCCATGCCCAGATTGGTTCAAACTCGCTCTCTCTCAACCAATAAGCATAGGTTTTGCTTTGTGGATCAGCAATCAGCTATGAGAACAACTCTTTACCAACTCTTTAACAACTTTACACACGGCTAAATAAAACGCAAAAAAAAAAAAAGTTCTTATAAATAATTCTCAATACTAAGTACCTTTGCATGCCAACAGCACAAAAACAAGACAAAACAGTGACACAGCAAAGACGAAGTGCTGGCCTTGCTGTTTTCAAAGGACGCAAATGACGGTGCGGTTGTTTGTCTGCAACGCAAAAGTTAAGAAGCGGCAGGGTCAATACCATATGCTGGCACATAAAACCTAAGGATAGTCCACATTGAATCTAGTTTAGTTATATAACTTTTTATAGTATAGTAAATATTTCTATCTAATTTTTTAGTGAGGATTTCCACCATGTTTATTTGGACTTGGACGCATTATTTCTTATTTTCTTATTTATTATTTGTTCATTATAAGTGGTGTCGTTTATGGTAACTGAAAACATGTTATTTGGAAAACGTCAAACTTGATTCAGTGTTCTGTCATTTTGTAACAATCTTTCTGTTTAGTTAATTCCCAGAACTTTTGGGCTAATACATTGTCAGTAAATAAATGCACTAGTTTTTTTTTTCCCACTGAAAAAGCCTTAGAATAGCATTGAAATAAATTGCTATAATTTGCTCAGGGAATGGTGGATGTAGACAAAATTTATTTTGGAAGTATAAAACATCATAGTGTGTATTTCTATAGAAAAAAACAAAAACAAACCTCATGAGGTTTTGTTTGTAATAACTAGAAAATGCCACTTTTTAAAAAAACGTTTTCTTAAAATTCTGGAATATTTTCTGTCTATTCATATGTTTTTGGACCAAAAAATATTTTAGACTGAACCTTTAAATGACAAAGATTGAAGCTTCAGGTTCTCCTGTTTAAAATAATATATGACACTTGAGGCTGACTGCTAAAATAACAATAAAACTGCTTTAAAAAAATATTATTTAGGCCCATTAGGTGCCCACAAAATACTTCTAGATCTTTAAGGGTTAATCAAACTATTACCATTTTGTAGTACTTTTCACTATATTGTGTAATAGGACACACCCAAGGCAGTTGTCAGCCATTTGATGACAAACAAATGAGAATGTCTTCAAGCAAAAGAACACAATTTTATTATGAGCGGGAAAAGATGTTTATGCTTACACTATAACACGTAAAACAGGAACATGAAAGAAACATTAAACTCATGTAAACACCTTAATCATATTGTTGCCTTATGTAGATTAAGGCAAATAATTTGATTGTTAGATGTCCATGCATGACCCCCTCTCTTTCACTCTCTAATTTAATTTGCTAAAGACCAATAGGTTTTACTAAAGAAGTTTTGTAATCATAAAGGCTTATGAGGCAGGGTCCTGTGTTTTGGTCTTCAAAGTTTTTGGGGCTTAGATGTTTTCTCTCTCTCCCTCTCTTTCTGCAAGTAGCCTGTCTGGAATGTAGAGTGGTTGGAGGGCCCTATACAGGGTAATAGTAGATGTTACAAACTGAGGTATATAGACAATCAAAAGAGGGCGCCAGAGAACAAATTTCACACTGTCGTCTTGAACTTAAAACAAGCCTTGCCACCTGCCTGATTCACATACTATTCATCATACAAGAACCCAGAATTAGACATAGCTCCTCACAAAAATTATGACCTACATTTTAAGTGTAGGAAAAATAATAATACATTGTGATGTTATGATTGAAACCAAAACATAGTTCTAACTTGTATGCAAAATGCTATTAATATTATTTAGATTGATAAATATACTTAATTCATATCTTAATCGTTAAATTAAGTGTTGACAAGAGATTTTCAGCCATTGGAAAACTTTGTTAGATATACTGAGCAATTATTGACACTGTGAACTTATATGGTCAACGTCATAGCACTGGACACAGGAAAACAAGCAGGACTTACTGCACAGGAAGCAGGATCTGTGGAAGCTCCGCCCTTCACATTGCACTTCCTCTGCAAAATACACTGTTTTCTGGCAGCAGCCACATTTGTTTCCACCCCCAAGAGGCATCCTGAAAAGCAGAGCAGAGTAGGCCAAAGAGGTCATGAAATCACCAACTTTTTTGGGGTGTGGAGGGGACTCTTTATGATTCCCAAAATAAATAAACAACAACATCAAGTTATATTTAGAAATTGTTTCGGTAAAGATGAATGTACAATAAATGTATAGGACAAGAGTGTGGAGAAGATAATATTGAATAGAACTGAAACAAAATAGGTCATGAGGTTTTGCAAATGCCAGATGTGTAATTATACTGCAATTAGACTTCAGCGTAGAACAAAATAGAACTTTACACAGAAGTGATGACACACCACAAGCAAAACACAACACCAAAAAAAGGCATTCAGATTAGTAAAAAATGCATGCCTGCAATGTGAAACAGGGTGGTTGGGATATAAAAGTGCATACTTGTTGTGATTCCAGAGTACAGCATGAACTTGGCAAGCTTGTCAAGTTTATGTATTTCCTTTTAAAAATATGTTCCTGGTCACTACACTTAACATCATTACTGATCTCCATTCGTCTGGAAAAAAGTTAGATGAGGTCTAATACAGTGGTTCTCAAACTTTTTTCACCAAGTACCTCCTCAGAAAAAGTTGTCTCTCCAAGTACCCCCTTATGACCAGTATTGAAATAAAGTAGCGTAGTTGGTCAAATTAAGCAGGTACAGCACTGCACAGTTCGAAAACGAAGCAAAGTCATATTCATTCAATGAAATTATACTCCATACAAAATATGAAGCTGATCTGTCGTTCATCAGTTCTGAAAAGTTAAGATGTTTTCAACTGGGGACGCCTGGAATACGCAAGCGATTCGTGCTGCAGTTCTTACTAATTTTGCTAGCCTGTGGGTTAAATTTTGGCACTCAAGTGACCAAGATGTAACAAGAGAATACGCTCATTTTCAAAGTAAAACATTTAAAAAATAAATGATTATTCAGACTCAGATTAAAAATAAAACTGAAATAATTAATGATTTTTTTGTTCGGTCGGTACCAGTTGATGTATAGACCGGTGCCGGTCTGTGGCCCAAGGGTTGTGGACTACTGCTCTAGCACGTACAGTATCTGCTCTGCAAGCACCATGCACCTCTTTCTCTAGTTTTGTGCCAATTAAATTGATTTTTAGCAGCTGATGACGCCTTGCAAGTAAACATTCTAAGCACAACGCTACGATCGTAGTCTTTAGAAACAACGAATACTGATCACATTGGTGTTATCATACGCATCAAATAATCAAAATTGTATTTATTTTTTCTTTTGTTAATTAGTGATTCCTCCGCGTACCACTAGAAGTAAGCCAGTGTACCACAGTTTAAGAACCACTGGTCTGATACATTCTGAGAATGATAAAGTCAGAACCTTCAATGAAAGCTTTCATTCATTTTCCTTCAGCTTAGTCCCTTCAGGGGTCGCCACAGCGGAATGAACAGCCAAATTATCCAGCATGTTTTACACAGCGGATGCTCTTCCAGCTGCAACTCAGTACTGTGGAGCACCCATACACTCTCACATGCACACACATACACAATGGCCAATTTATTTAGCCGCATTTCCTGTGGGGGAAACCGAAGCTCACAGAAGAAACCCACATTAACACAGGGAGAACATGCAAACTCCACGTAGAATTGCCAACTGACCCAGCCAGGACTCAAACCAGTGACCTTTTAGCTGTGAGGTGATAGAGCTAACCACTGAGCCATGGTGTCTCCCCCAATGAAAACGTAATTATATATACCATGTTCCTTCCGGTCTCACAAATCTCAGGACTTAGGATCTTAGAACTGCTCTATATTCCTCCAACCCTCTGTCTTTGTAAGGCTCTTTTATCCTCCTGTTGTTGTCAGGGTCCTCCATCTTTCTGTATCTTTCAGGGTCTTCCATCCCTCTTTCTTTGTAAGGCTCCTCCATCCTTTAACATTTGTAAGGCTCCTCCACCCCCTGCATCTCTCAGACTTCTATATCTGTCTGTCTCTGTCAGAATCCTCCATCCCTCTGTTTTTACCAGGCTCCTCCATCCATCGGTCTTTGTAATACTACTCCATCATTGTGCATCTGTCTGTCTCTTGCATCCCTCTATCTTTGTTAGGCTCCTCCATACCTCTTTCCTTGTAAGGCTCATCCATCCATCTGCATCTGTCATGGTACTCCATTTGTCTGTTTTTTTTTAATACTCCTTCATCCTTCTACATCTGTCCATCTCCTCCACCCATCTGTTTTTGTAAGACCCCTCAATCTCTCTGGCTTTACCAGGCTCCTCCATCCCTCTGTCTTTGTCAGGCTCCTCCATCCATGTTTCTTGTTATAGCTTTTCAGACTTCTCCATCCTTTTGCATCTGTCAGGCTCTTGCACCCCTCCATCTCTATCAGGCTCCTCCATACCTCTTTCCTTGTAAGGCCTCTCCATCCTTTGGCATCCGTAAGGCTCCTCCATCCACCTGTCTTTGTTAGGCTCCTATCTTTTTCAGACTCCTCCATGCCAGTTTCTTCATCCTTCTGCATCTGTCAGACTCCTTCATCCATCTGTCTTTGTAAGGCTCCTCCATTCCTCTGTTTTTGCCAGGGTCCTCCATCCATCTGTCTTTGTAATACTCCTCCATCATGTCTTCCATACATCTTTCCTTGTTATGCCTCACCATCCTTTGACATCTGTAAGGCTCCTCTGCATCTGTCCAGCTCCTCCATCCATCTATTTTATGGACTCCTACATGCTTGTTAAAGCAACATCTATCATGCCCGAGAGTGTGTGTGTGTGTGTGTGGTCACGTGATGTGCATTTTCAGCGTTTTGGTGTGGACGGAGAGCTGTTCAGAATCGCTGGGTAAAACGCTAGTGTGGACGCGGATCGTTTTCATTCTAAAACATCGTTTTAAAACTAAAACGCACTAGTGTACATGGGGCCTTAGAAGTGTAGTGGTTTTTGGTTTTTCTCTTACTGAATCAAACTCAGTCTGGAGGTTATGAATATCAGAAGAATATACGTTATTGTCGGCAACAAAGGAGAACTTTCAGGAGATCCCCAGTAGCATCTCTGTCTGAAAAATTCTGTCTCACTCATCTTCTGCCCTCCTTAAATACTCTGTTTTTTCCTTTGTTGTACCTATGTCACACAAGATCCCTCCTAGTTTAACCCTTGACTCCAAATTCCACCTCTGTCATCTGTTTTTCCCTTATTTCTACATATATCACACAAGATCCCTCCTAGTTTAACCCTTGACTCCAAATTCCACCTCTGTCATCTGTTTTTCCCTTATTTCTACATATATCACACAAGACCCCCCTAGTTTAACCCTTGACTCCAAATTCCACCTCTGTCATCTGTTTTTCCCTTATTTCTACATATGTCACACAAATTCCACCTAGGTTAACCCCTGACCTCAATTTCCACCTAGGTTAACCCCTGACCCAAACCTGGTAACTATATAATTTATCCAGTTCTTGTGTTATGGCAATTCTTCTAATGGTATGCAAGTCTACAAGCAGATTACATACATACAATTTGAATATATATATTAACTTCACACTTTAAAGAGTATAAAATCCACTTCAGAAGTCCAAACAATTCATGAAACTAATTCCAAATCATCTTTAATTTGTAATCTTATTCTTTCAGAGTAGCTGCTCACCAGCATATTAGGCCTAGATTAGAGAACAGGAGTTCAAATTAAAAGTTCAATATTGAAATGCTAGAAATGGACAAGTCATCCCCATCACCCTTGGTGCTGCTACTGATTACAACACCAAATAAATCAAATAGTCTCATTTACTGTATGTGGGTCTTGACTTTTACTAAACAAATACAAAACAAAACAAATGTCATCCTTTATAGTTTTGACAATGGCTCATGTTCCTCTCATGTGCTGTAATTGCAGGGAAATGTCTCATTGATTTTGTCCAAAAAAGGGCTTGTTGGTTATAATCGAGACATTCCTGCATAGTTCAGATGTCTCCAGTCTAAACACCCACTCTGGCCCCTGTCTCCAGACATGCGGGTTTGTCAAGGATGTGAGGAAATGACATGAGTCGGCACACAGCCACACATACAGATAAGGTCCTGTGTTGTACACACGCCTATTAAACATTCACCAAACCATTGGCCACTTCCCTCCTGTTGCAAACATGCTTCTCTGTTGTTACAACAGAAGATCACAAAGAGTTTGATAGATAGGCTCATAGCCAGAAGTTTGACAGTATTATGGTACAACTGAGAAAGTTTAAGACTAAGTTTAATCTACACCACACCAGATTATATCTCAAAGTTTTTGTTTTCCTGATTCCTACAAAGCCACCAATCTTACAGGTTAATTTCCAAGTAAACATGGAAAGCTTTTTGATGGTTTTGGATGCTCATCTCACGACTACAGAATTTTGGGGGTTTTCGGAACATGTCAGAGTGCGAGTTTCAAAACACTAGAGTACCATTATTGTCAGTGTTTAAAATACAAACACAATGGCTGTTTTTCAATTCCAAGAACGCAGAGAACGGACTTGCGTTCTTGTGGAGGGCAGTCTTGCTAGGTGTCCTCGGAAGAACGAACTCAGGAGACCGCGAGGGCAGAGAACGCATCCTTTGAGAAATGGGATGCTGCGTTCTTCCTGACGGTCATGTGACCGTCACGCATTTTAAATGGAAATTATTTAAACATTACAGCACTCGTACAACGATTTATTGTTTCCCCCCTCTTCAAAATATATACTTTGCATAAAAACATTATAAATATACTCTGCACAATATAAATAAAACAAATTTTAATACGGATTTCATCAAACAGACACCCTTAATGTTTTTATTCCCTTATTAAGATGTTCATGGTGATGTTTACTTTCACCGTTTCATTTAGGGAAACTCCTGAGGTAAATAAGTGATATCTCTGAACTTTAATAATAAATCTAGATAAAATGCTGCGCTTCCCACCTCCAGTCGCAATTACTTCTGGGACTTCTAGCGCGAGACTGATGCTCAAGTCTGCATCAGTGCGTCCTCGATATCAAGAACACATCCGGGAAGTTTCACGCGTCCTCCGTACTTGCGGTCTTAAGTATTGGAAGTGAACTTAGGCAGCTGATGATGACATTGCACGAGAGCACGAGGACGCGAGACCGCTAAAGAACGCATATTGAGAAACAGCCAATTTAATGTCATATGTGTGTATTACGTGTTCAGTCTGAGCAAATACTTGACAACTAAAACAATACTAGTGGTCCGTATGTGCACATGCAGAGTTTTTTTTTTCTTTGTGATGAACAAAATATAACTACCTTAAATATTTGTTATCCATTAAAGGTCGCCTATGATGAAAATCAACTTTTGTAAGCTGTTTGGACAGAACTGTGTGTAGGTATAGTGTGTCCACAGTCATACTGGAGTGATAGATACACAAGAAGTCTCTTTATTTAAACTTCCCGAGGTTAAATAGGACCCAAATCCCTGCAATTTTGAGGCTCACCACAACGTAACACATGAGTGCAGTTTCCCCGCCCACTAAATTGATTGACAGCCGCGTATTAACATGTCTCCATAGTAACACGTATAATCATATCCACAAGACAGGATGTTTGTAAAGGATTAAAAGATCTGTTCAGCTCTCTGAGAATGAGTTTTACAAGTTTAAAACGTTTTTAAAACAGTGCATGTTTGTGATAAAGACGTAATTCTTCACCACATAGTGTCCAATCATAAAAGATATTTCAATCTCAGTTTGTTGACTTAAATCAGGTTTATTTTGCATGTTAACATAACAGATGTCCTTGAAGCAGCGTATATTAATGCGTCTCCTGTCACATTTGCCATGCAAAACAGTGCAAATCTAATTATGTGTGTACATACGTGAACATTATAATTACATTGTGTGTGACTCATCATTCCAGAATGACTTGACTTAACTCCACAACAGATATATCAATTAGCAGTTGGGAAATTTCTTATTGTAGTAAGGGAGATCTGCTTTATTCTTGTCTGTCACTGTGCTGTTTATCTACTTAAAGGCTACACGCATCAGAGCAACACAGAGAGATCTCTATGGCTCTGGCTGTTTCTCAATATGCAATCGTCAGCGGTCTTGCATCCTCGTGTTCTCGTGTAACATCATCATCAGCTGCCAAAGTTCAGTTCCAATACTCAAGAGCAGAAGGATGCGAGAAAGTTCCCGGATGTTTTCTTGAAATTGAGGACGCACCGATGCAGACTTGAGCACCAAACTCACTCTAGAAGTCCCAGAAGTCATTGCGACTGGAGGTGGAAAGCACAGCATTATATTTTGATTTAATATTAAAGTTCAGAGATATAATTTATTAACCTCAGGAGTTTCCCTAAATGAAACGGTGAATATAAACATTACCATGGACATCTTAATAAAGGAATAAACACATTAAGGGTGTTTGTTTGCTGAAATTTGTATACATTTTTTATTTATTTATATTGTGCAATGTATATTTATAATGTTTTTATGCATAGTGTATATTTTGAAGAGGGGAAAAACAATAAATCGTTGTATGAATGCTGTAATGTCATTACAGTAAAGATCCATTAGCATAGATGTTGCTTTATCTAACACTATCTAATAATGAGTGCTATAGTATAACATACATAAAAAGTAGTCTGCTTATCGTTTCTGTTAACTCAAATTCAAAATAATATTAATAAATATAACTAATGTATTAGTAAATGCTCCCATTAAATATGATTAATAACTTCAATACATGTAAATGTAATGCTTATTTACATGCAAAACTCTAATCAACACAATCCATAAACCTTCAGGAAATAAAAGTTCATTAAAATCACTAGAATCTGTTTGGAGTTTGCATGTTCCCCCTGTGTCAGCGTGGGATTACTCCCACAGCCCAAAGATAAACAGATTAGGTGAATTGAAGACTCGAAATTGTTCCTCCTTCGACTTGTGCATAGTCAAGACTTGTGTATTGGAAAGTCTGGTATGTCTCGCCAAGACTGGTTCTTGCTTTGAATATAGGCATTAAGGTTATGGTGGCGTTAAGAAGTAAATAAATAAAACTTCTTAGTACTTGAATATACGCTAAGACTGTAACAATGACACTTTAAAATGAAGCTCCACAATAAAACAATAGAAAAATTGTCAGGAAATAATGCAGCTTTGCTTGCTAGAACTTTAAATACCACTAAAATATCCTCCTTAGACCCAAATAATTATTTTTTTTTTATTTTATGTGATTTCCTACATCCTTTGGGTTAAAAAAATTCTACAATTCAGTTTTTACATTTTGTTTTTATTTTTAATTTTACAGCATGTCCACTGTATTGGACCACAGGACCATTTTAGTTCGAAACAACCACCACTTAGACAACAAAACTGTACAGGATATGGCTGTAAAGGGATATTAATCTAATATTAATGTAACAAAAAAAAATAATAATAAATTAAAAAAAAAAAAAAAATATATATATATATATATATATATATATATATATATATATATATATATATATATATATATATATATATATATATATATTCCTTTTGCATTGAAATTCCTGAAACAGTTTAGTCTAAAAAAAGAGCCAAACTCAAAAAAAAAGAAAAAAAAGAAAAAGTGATGTTAATCCAAAACAAACTTAACATAAAAGCGATTTAAAACTCATTGTCATTCTCTAATTGTCTCTAATTCTCTAATTGTCTGATTGACAGACTCTAAATCAGAGTCTCCCTCAACTATCTTATAAAGAATCTTCTCTGCTTCAGTTCTGCTCTCTACAACATGCAGTCATTAATTACATTAAGATGGTCCTGGTGTCCACTAAAGTGGACATTTAAAAAAGGATGATATTTTGAAACACAAACAAGTTAACAGCTTTGAAAGCTAAATGTATTGTTCCTAACACTTTAATAAGCAAATATATATGTAATAATAATAGTAAAAAAACATTCAAAAAGCTCAATTATACATACCTCTCTCCTTCCCATTAAATGTGCTTTTTTGTATGTCGGCCATTTTGGATGCAGTGCAAGAAGTGTTTCCTAGTATCCCAGCCAATCAACTAACATATCACTAGTAAGGCCAGGATGTCCTCAAAACAGTACAACAGGACTTGAGAGAGTAGCTCAATAAATTCAAAGAAAATTCACTACAGAGGACACAAGTCAATGGGCGGGGTCTCATGAGGATATGGTAGAAACTGTAAAAAATAACCTACAGTTTACAGTAAACTACCATATTTAGTTCATTTATAGTTTTAATACACCATTGTTTTGGAGTGCTAAAATCTAAACATTGTACCTTCAGATCACAGACAAAAAACAACAACAGCCATAAGCAAGAAAGTCATATACAATAATAAACCATTGCTCATCACAAACAGCTTATCCACAAACAGAAACACATGCTTATATATTGTCATTCACACAACTTCTAAACTCCATCATGGTAACACACATGACTCTGAACTAAATCAATAAACACTATCAAAAATAGGTGTAACAAACTCTGTTGTAGATGAGGAAACAAAAATGTAAAATAACCATAATAAAGTCAACAAAATGTGTCATCGATAAAATTTTGCCAATTAAAATAACATACTATTATTCCCTGTGTATAGTAAGGAAAGGTCACACTTTATTTTCATGGTCTGGTCGTTGAATTTAAATCACATTGCATCTATATGCCAGCTAATTCTTATTAATTTATGACTGTTAGGGTTGGGTTAGGGTTAGTGTAAGTTGACATGTACTTGCAAAATTTCTTATTAGTTAAATGTCTGTTCAGCAGCAGCATCAACAGATATTAAGCAGACAGTCTACTAATACTCAAATTGACCATCAAAATAAAGTGTAATCACTTATTGTTAACATGTTTTGACTGTGTAAATCAAAGCCATTTTTATTGGTGTACCCTTAATAAGTACGCTTTTCATAGCTTTTTCAGGTTGAAAACTACCCTTAACAAAACAGACCATTAACAAACAAAACCTTATTGTTAAGTGTTACCAAAATTCCACTGACTCATTCTCAGACTAAATGATTTTTAGAGTCCAGTTACTCTACTAGAAAACAAGACTAGACAAGCCACATTCCTGATTCTAGATTAGCAAAGTTAGTAGAAGTTTGTAACTGTGAAAGTGAGGAACGCGACTTTTATAAGTGAAGGTTCAAAAGCCTCTCTCTGAATGTTCAGAATTTTTGAGCTTAAGTTCTGATGAGGCGGAAGGAATGTAAAGCATTCCAGGAAAACGAAACCTCAGACTCAAGTTTGCAGAGACATTACGTATGAGTAGTGCAAAGGACAAAATCAGACAGTGTGAAGAGCTTCTTACCTGCTAGGTGTGTGGATATGAAGAGACAATCACAGCTGTTGTGGGAATGAAGAGAGTTTGTTCAGAGCTTACACGTGTGTTAAACTTCAGCACAGGAGCTCTGGGTGCGGCAGTGAGGGAAGTGGCTCAACTGAGCTGTGCTGAGATGTTAAAGGAACAGCACTACCTCAAAACCTACTGTGTGTGTGTGTGTGTGTGAGTTTGTTTGCTCACTGATGCCCCCTCTCTGGTCCACATTTATTCAAGCACACCTTGACACTTTGAAAGATTAACAGAACTCGAAGAGGTTTAAATGATTATACAATGGAATAAGTCACAAAGTTTACTACTGTCTATTGAACTGCTAAAATAGCATTGTCAGGAAGAGGTTTTCATTGTGATGCTATAGAAACTTTTTTTGTGAAGGGTAAAAAACCTTTTCAAAATCTGACAAAGAACTCTATTCACTTTAAGAACCTTTTGCGGAGTAAAATTTTTGCATGGATGTAAACAGTGGTGTAAAGTAACTAATTACAAATACTCAAATTACTGTGACTGAGTAGTTTTTCTCAGAAATTGTAATTTTCTAAGTAGTTTTAAAAATGTGTACTTTTACTTTCCTTTGATTACATTTTTAGTGCAGTATCTGTACTTTTACTCCAGTACTTTAACCTGCAGTCGCTACTTTTTTTTTTCTTGTCTATGGGGATTAGCTCAGTTGTCTTTTGATTCCTGTCCAATGACTGTAAAAAATATGGACGACGCAACAGCCCCTTTTCCCATTGAACGCCTTGAGGGCAAAACGCCTGCTTGACGGGCACAAACTGTCGCAAAAGACTGCTGAAATTGGAGCCTTGACATGCGCAGAAGGACTGTCTGATGGAGCCAGAGGAGGAGCCGCGAAAATGAGCGGAGTCGAGCTTCCAACCAAACGCTTTATGTAAAATCAACCACGCCCCCCGAACTTCTCAGCATGCGTTTGCTGTCATATCAACACAAATGGATGTAATAACGTTAACAAATATGAGGGTTTTATATATTCAATCGTGCCAGCTCCGGGTCGCAGCGCATAACCTACTCGCGGTGTCGCAGGGGTGATTCCGGCTCGCATGCGGCAGCGTCGGCTTGCTCGGCCGCCAGCATCTGGCTCGATTGACTCGGGCTGGAATCGGGCTTTGAGTCCAGGCATCCGGAGTAGGTCCAGCAGAGGTAGTCAGTCTGAGCTCTGAGGGGTAAGTCTCCGGCAGGCGAGAATCTAGCCGAACTGGTCCGAGTGTATTTTGCCATCTGGGTGGCTAGGCGTGTATCAGCAAACTAATAAAGCCCGAAAAAAGCCCTGAACTTAGCGAATAAACAGTGTTCCACCAGGATCATGTATGTCAGTTTCTATGTCAGAAACTGAACTCATTTTGTCATGGTAAAATAACACAGAAATCGAATAATAACACTTCAGTCTCCTGCCGAAGCTCAGACGCGCTGCTTTGAGAGACTGTCAATCACAGCTGTCAATCACGATGACACGCCCAGCATTAAATTACTGCTAAAAACAAACTGTTTACAAAAATGAAGATCTGCACCTATTTCAGCACAATAACCAGTGCCTTAATCGACCAGAACCATCTTTCGGGACATTTTATTGCAAGTGTAATAATTTTTTGGGCTCAAGTCTCATTCATTAACACGGAGGAGGCGGGCTTTATGACTTGTACTGCAGCCAGCCCCCAGGGGGCGATCTAACGGCCGAGACCTTCACTCAAACGCAGGCTTGCGGCACACTTGTTCCTGTCCAATCAAATCATACATAAAAGGTAAATCGCATCATATGGACTACCTCAAAACATGGGCAATTTGTAATTGCAGCAAACTGTTTTGAAGCAGTAAAAGTTACCAAGAAGATGTCCAAAATCGTTACACTCAATGACCCAGAGACTGATTAGATCAGGGGTCACCAACATGGTGCCCGCGGGCTATCACATGTGTTGCTCGCAGGCCTGTTCTAAAAATAGCTCACCATAGCGCCACTTACCAGTAAGCTTAATCTAATATAGAAGTAATCATTTAAAAATGTAAATATTTGCAGAGATATATAAAAGTAAATAAATGCAGGGTTTTTCCTACAGTTAAATCATTGTTGATAACTTTTGCGAGAATCATTAACATGATCAGTGTCTTCACATGGATGAATATCATTAATTATTACCAAAAACATAAAGTATAATTAAAAGTAAATTGAGCAAATTTGTTATTTGAGAAGCGTTTATCAAACTGGTAGCCCTCCACATTAATCGGTATCCAAAAAGTAGCTCTCAGTTTCATAAAGGTTGGTGAACAATTCGGGGTCAGTTCACCTGGCGAGCGAGCGAGCTACTGTGGTGCCGTAAGCGATTTGTTACTTGTATATTTTTATTGTGATTACATATACATATATCGTTTTGTTTGTTGTTTATTTGTTCTTTTATTTTAGTTTGTTTTGCTACTTTGCTGGGTTTTGGGTTTCACTCTCGTACACTGTAAATAAACCATCACTTTACACGTTATATCAGCGAGTTGTGCCATCATTTTGAGGTTTTCTCAGTTTTTTTATATCCTTTGAGAACCCACTACGAGCCTTCCTGGCTCGTAAACCTCACACCTGGTTTAGATGAATGTCACTGATGAGAAGATGATCGATGTTTACTTTATGATGACCGAAATAGCCTTAAACACCCAGCAAGCACAAGATTTCAACATGATGTCAGATTGATGTTGTACTCTAACGTCATGGGGACGTTGCATTGTGTTTGGAAATAAAAACGGAACACTAATGTTGATGTCAGAACTCAACGTCAGGCCAACATCAATGTCCAACCTAAAATCAACCAAATATCAACGTCTAATGATGTAACAGCTTGACGTTGTGTGGACGTCACCACTACGACGTCTATCAGACGTTGAATTTTGGTTGTCATAACCTAATAAATAAATGTCAGTATTTGACATCAATGTGATGTTTGTTTAAGATATTGGCTCTCCGTTGGATTTTGGTCACTTTCTAACAACCTAAAATTGACCGTATATCAAAGTCATATCCCGTCATTATTGGACATCAAAATAACTGTCCTTAGATGCTGGCTAGACATTCAATTTTGATTACTTGACATCACAGCCTAAGTCTAACCTAATATTAACATCTTATGATGTTATGTGCCTGCTGGGCAATAACTAAATGCACTACAGAATGTTACGTTTACACACATCCACAGATTACATGTAAACGCCTCAGCTTTTTACAGTACTCACTACTCACTACTCTTGAGTACTTTTAAAAGGGCTACTTTTTACTTATACCTTGAGTAATGTTTACAACAGATACATTTACTCTACTCACACTACATTTTAAGACAAGTAATGGTACTTTTACTTGAGTATGATTTTTCAGTACTCATTCCACCACTGGATGTAAAACTTTCTTTGAGGAACCATGGATTCTAATAGAGAAACTAGTGGTTGGCAGAATAGTGACAAAAATATTAAGATTTAAAATGACAATAACTAATTTACTTCACAGATCCTTAAATAAAGAATTTTGACGCAGAAGAAGCATCAAGCGCAAGTGATTTACATGTAAAGTCTATGCAAAGCTGCGAATAGACATGTGGCGCGAATGATGCGATATGTTTAAATAAAGCAGTGCAAGTTAAGCGTTTTGCACGATTAATGCGCGAATCGCCTGAGTTGGAAAATCTGAACTTCAGCGGACATTTGCGCTGTGCTAACCAATCAGGAGCTTTCTCTTGTAGGGGAGTGTTTATGATGTAGCACCTGTTGTTGGTGTCCCGAGGGTAAATCCTGCTGCCGACATTGGACAACAGTACATCAAACTTGTCTCAGCTCAGTCGGAATCACTGTTGAAAGTTTCCAGGTAAAGTTAGGTATACCTGAAACTATATTCAGGTATAGTTTCAAGAGGAGTTTATGAGCTCACAGAGCTGGATGCACCCCAGAATGGATCTAGTGGTCAGGCATGGCTTCCTAAAGCAAATGAACACAGCTATTCTCTCAATAAAATTCCTGTTAGTCAGGTAGCAATGAAGCGAGAGTCACTGGGCAGATAGAAGCCCGCTGCTGATTGGCTAATTGACAACATTTGAGTTAATTGGAGGCACAACTGTAGAATGGTATTTAAGGAAAACCTCAAACTCACTGCTTCCTTGTGTGACAACATGGGAAAATTAACAAGCCAGATTACGAGGCAGATTATTCATTCATTTATTTTCTTGTCGGCTTAGTCCCTTTATTAATCCGAGGTCGCCACAGCGGAATGAACCACCAACTTATCCAGCAAGTTTTTACGCAACGGATGCCCTTCCAGATGCAACCCATCTCTGTGAAAACAAGGCATATTACAATTTGCTAAATTATACTGGGAAAAGAATAATTTTTGGAGACATGTCCTGTGGTCTGATGGAACTAAGATTGAACATAATGACCAGTGTTACATTTGGAGGACAAAAAGGAAAGCTTACAAGCCTAGGAACACCATCCCAACTGTGAAGTATGGGGCGGCAGCATCATGTTGTGGGGCTGTTTTGCTGCAGGAGGGACTGGTCCACTTCACAGCATAGTAAAGATGGCATCATGAAGAAAGAACATTATGTAGAAATACTAAAGCAACATCTTAAGACATCAGCCAAGATATTAAAACTTGGCCACAAATGGGTCTTCCAAACAGACCATGACCCTCGGCATTCTGCCACTGGAGGGCCAGTGTCTCTGCAGGGTTTAGCTCCAAGTTGCCTCAACACACCTGCCTGGATGTTTCAAGTGTACCTAGTAAGACCTTGATTAGCTTGTTCAGGTGTGTTTGATTAGGGTTGGAGTTAAAATCTGCAGGACACCGGACCTCCAGGAACAAGTTTGGTGACCACTGCTTTAAGCACAACAGAGTGAATGTTTTGGAGTGGCCATCACAAAGCCCTGAACTAAATCCTATAGAAAATGTATGGGTAGAGTTGAAAAAGCTTGTGCGAGCAAGACAGCCAACAAATCTGACTCAGTTACACCAATTCTGTCAGGAGGAATGGGCTAAAATTCCTTCAAACTACTGTGAGAAGCTTTAGGAAGGATACCCAAAACATTTGACCAAAGATATACAGT